CTAGCCGCATGGTGGGGGTTTCCATTACCCCTTCCCACTGCCCCGTGAGCTGGAGGAGGTCCCTCTGGGTGCTCGTTCTCAGCCATTGCTTCAAAATCCACTGAACCTTTCTGAACAATCTCCTCAAAAGCTCGAGCTTGTTCTCGAACTCTTCTTGATCTTGCGTATCCAAGCTGATGAATATCGTCTAAGGGTGTGAGTAAGGCGTTGTCATCCTTGGAACGCAGATTCATGTACCTGAAAGACACAAGTTTGAAAGTAGAGAAATCAGTAACCAACTTAAAGTAAAGGCTTAGTCTTTACTAAACCCCAAATCTTAATGCTTTCTATCCCCTAAGATGGCAACGGCGCCATTTGATAACAGGTTTTTGCAATGCAATGATGTATCAAAGCTCAAATGCAACACTGAGATGTAGTATAGCATGCAAGTGAGTGTCAATCCAATCCTAGGGGTAGCAAGTTCACTAAGAATGCAAAAGATGAGCAAAGCTAAGCGAGAATGATAAATGATTGGTAAAATCCCTAAAAACTAAATGCAAGTTTCCAATGCAAAGCAAAACAATTTTAAAATCCCTGGAAGAGGGTTAACTACCACGAGGTACAAGCGGAATATTTAAAATGCAAAGCTACTAATTATTAAAAATCGACTAGTGGATCGACCACAGAATCGACCACTAGATCGAGCAACAGCGATCGATCTCGTCTAAACAACCTAGAATGATGACATGATGCAATATGCGATTGACAAGAACACAACTTTATGATGATGGAATGATATTAAACGAATTAAGACACTAAGAAAGAGGGTCTAGGGTTGAGGGTCACGTTCGTGGGTCTCAAAGGTCAAAGCTTAGTTTGAAAACATTAGATCTACTCTCTTTGAGAGGTTCTCTAGGCCTTGAAAACAAAACAAGATCCATCCATGGCATGTGGTATGGATCACTCCTTCATTCTCTTCTCCAGACCCATGGCGTTTGGTGGAAAACGAGATTGAAGGGCATAAAGCACAGATTTCAAACAAACGACCTAACTAGTCCCCTTTACAACAATGGTGTGTGGGAAAGGAAAGACTAGCCTCTAGGATTCGATTTTCGAGGACATCTGGATCCTGTCAAGGTAAGACATCCCTCGGATCTTAGAGATCTTGGCTTGAGAGTCTCTAAGCCTTAAGCACTCGAAATCCTAGAAGAAAAGGTGATAAAGAACGAGAAAATACAAAGCTTTAACCTTTTCAACCCTTTTGAATCGCCCCAGCCCCAAAACCCAAAAAGACTACTCGCGATTCATAAACAAAACCAACGAAAGCATCAAAGATGATCTATTAAGCATCATTAACAAAGATTAAGGCTAAAGATTTGATATTCAAAAGTTTAAATGCAAGAAAAAGCTTCGAAAGTCTACAATGGCGGAAAATCGCCTCAAAAATGAGAGAGAGAAAAAGGTAAGGACAGAATGGGGATAACGAAAGGGATCGTTGCCTTTTGCCAAAAATGGCCAAACCGCAAATGGTCCCCCCTTCGCTACGGTCCAAATCCAGCTGGACGGATAAGGTTAGTCTGGGATCGAGCACGAAGCTCGATCTGGCTCTCGATCTTCATCTTCGATCGGATGGCTCTAGTCGATCTCCGAGTCGATCTTGTGCTGATCGGGTTGAAAGCTCGATCCGGTCCTCGATCTGCATGGCGTCATTTACGTCCGTACTTCAGATCGATCTCCACACTCGATCTTGGTCTTGATCTATTTCCTTGCATCGACTTGGTTACTCGATCTTCTGGTCGATCTCGTCTGGATCGACCTGCCGTGCTCGATCTGCCACTCGATCTCGGGTCCTTAGCAAGCACTCCTGAGTTCTCCAAGTGTCCACGACTTTGCTCACGAGCCTTAGCACGTCCACGAACTCTCCAAAGCTCCAAAGTAGCCGAAAACAACCTGAATGTGATGCATAATGCAAGAAACATGCAAATGCTGGTGCAAAAGTGCTCTAGGACCTAAAATGATGCAAACTAGCCTAATCTGCAAGGTAAATGCATGAGAAACTATCTTATATGTATGCAAAACACACGAAATATGCAGCAAGATCAAGAAGAGATTGGGGAAGTGAATCATACCACACGCCATGGATAGTTCTTGTTTTGTTTTCAAGGCTTAGAGAAAGCTCACAATGAGTAGATCTAAACGTTTTCAAACCAAAGCTTAAACCTTTGACACTCTTGAATATGACCCTCGACCCTAAACCCTCTTTTAGCATTTTAAAACCTCTGTTCATCATTCGCTTGCCATAAATTTGCATTCTTGATCATTAGAAGTCATTTTCCTTAAGTTGTTAGATCGGTCTGTTTTACTCGATCCAGTGGTCGATTCAGTGGTCGATTTATAGTTGTTAGTAGATTATCTCTTTTGTTGTTCTGTTTTCTTTCAGTCTTAGTTAACCCTCTTCCAGGGATTTTAAAATAGTTTTGCATTTCATTTGGTTATTGCATTTCGTTTTAGTAGATTTAACCAATCATTTTCCCGATTTGCTTAGCTTTGTTGAATACTTGCATTCCTAGTGTTCTTCCTGCTTCCTAGGTTGGATTGATACCTCTTGCATACTATACTACAACTATAGGTTGCTTGAGCTTTGATATTACACATTGCCTGCAAAAAATCCTAGTATCATTTGCTTGATCAATGCTGTTTGAAACAACCTTATTTAGTCTCTAGATTCCCCAAAAATCAATAACCACATATAGGAACTTGCTTTCTCTTTCATTGAATTTCGAATTTGGCTTAGTACTCTGTTTATTTGCTCTGTTCTGCTCTTTTGATCATTGCTAGATTACTTCTTTTGAATTCTCTTTGGTGATTGATCATTCTAGGTTGTTAGATAAGTTGCTTAGGCAACAAAAATCTCTCTTTGCTTTGCTTGACTTAAGGATTCCTACTCACAACTCTTTTGCTTTCAACAAAACCCATTGGATTGACATAAAACCATTTGCTATGCTACAACTGATTCACATACAAGGGTGATTGACTCAAGTCATAAAAAGTCTTGTATCAGGCAGGAATAGGAGCAGTTTTATCACAAGGAAAGAGGCCTATAGCGTATATCAGTAAGGGATTTTCAGCGAAAGGGAAGGTTAAGTCAGTTTACGAGAGGGAGTTACTCGCTATTGTTTTTGCCATTACCAAGTGGAGGCATTATCTCACCGGAAACAAGTTTGTGATTAGGACTGATCAAAAGAGTTTAAAGTACCTCTTGGATCAGAAAACCATATCAGCAGAGCAACAGCGGTGGGCATCGAAGCTTTTGGGGCTTAACTATAGCATAGAATATAAGCCTATAGCAGAGAATAGAGTCGCGGATGCTCTCTCACAGAGACCACCAATCGAAGAGGTCTGTGTATTGAGGTTGACAGCGCCCATCTCCATTGATTAGGAAGAGCTTGCGATCCAAATTGAATCAGATGTGGAGCTTCAACGAGTGATTACAGCGCTGAAAGAAGGAACTGCCACTCCTGGGTATCGTTATGACAATGGTCTGTTGTTCAAAGAGGAGAGAATAGTCATACCTGAGAAATCACCTTTCATTCCCATGCTACTAGAGCAGTTCCATGCAAGTCCCATAGGCGGCCACGAAGGAGTTCTCAAAAATTTTAAGCGTTTATCCAGAGAAGTCTTTTGGAAGGGTATGAAGCGAGATGTGCCAAACTACATCAGGAGCTGCCAAATTTGCCAAAAGAACAAGTATTCTACTTTATCACCAGCTGGATTGCTATCTCATCTACCGTTCCCAACACAGGTGTGGTCCGATATTAGCCTTGACTTTGTCGAAGGGTTCCCAATCTCCTGGGGATATGATGTGATTCTGGTAGTGGTGGATAGTTTAAGCGAATTTGCTCATCTCATTGCTCTGAAACACCCTTTTACGGCAAAGACTGTAGCAGACATCTTCACTAAAGCAATAGTGCGATTACATGGGTTTCCAGAAACAATGGTGTCTGGCCGAGATAAGGTCTTTCTTTGTCTATTCTGGTCAGCTTTATTCAAGGGGCATGGCACAGCATTGTGCAAGAGTACTGCCTATCACCCTCAATCTGATGGACAGACGGAAGTAGTTAACAGATGTGTGGAAGCGTATCTGAGATGTTTTGCAAGAGGAAAACCAAAAATATGGGTTGATTGGCTTCACTGGGCTGAGTATTGGTACAATACATCATACCATTCCGCCTCCAACATGACTACTTTTAAGGCGCTTTATGGAAGAGATCCACCAAGATTGCTTAGGTACGGCAATGTGCCCACGGCTAATGCCGAAGTAAAAGAGTTGATGCAGAGCCGTGATAATATCTTGAAGGAACTTAGAGAAAACTTGGAGGCATCACAGAAAAGGATGCAAGCGTCAGCTAATCAGCATCGCCTAGATGTTGAGTTTCAACTAGGCGATTGGGTTTTCCTTAAGTTTCGCCCGTACCGACAACTATCCGATAGCATAGCCATGCAATGAGAAGTTGTCCCCTCCTTACTTTGGGCCATACGAAGTGGTGGAGAATATAGGGAAGGTAGCATACAAGCTCAAGCTACCTGCGCACAGTTTCATACATCCTGTGTTCCATGTTTCACAACTCAAACGAGCAGTTCTTACGCCAAATCAGGTACAAGAACTTCCCCTTATTCTCTCTTCTACTCTCGAATGGGACACTGAACCTGAGGAGATTGTGAGTATACGGCGCAACAAGGGCATCAATGAACCAGAGGTGTTAATCAAGTGGAAAGGGTTACCCTAATCCAGGAACTTCTATCGTATCCTATCTATCGTCTCTCATTTCTTTTCCGATTTCTCACTCCCTTTCTACGAGTCTCCGATAAGTGCAAACTTATCAGATTACTCTTAAGTTGAAGAATATACCTTGATTCTCAAACGCAATACAGCTCGAGGAAGGAAAGAAAAGAAGAGTTCGGCGAAAAAACGGTCGGCACAGATACAGAAAAGGACGAGAAAGAACTTGAGCTCGAGTTATTTTTTTTTTTGTCTTTATGGCAATTTCTTATTTATTTTGTTTTTCTTTTCCATTAAAATTAAACTGTGGCAAAATAGTCTTTACATAGAAAGAGATAACAAATTAATAAGAGATATAGTGAACTCGGTTTTCAGATAAAAAGGCATTTGAGATCATGGTCCGGTTGAGATGGACGGATATCATGAGGAATTTGTCACTCAAATAAAGTTGCTGATGTCATATATGAATAGGTACCGACCAAGACAAGTTTGTTTTTTTCTGGTTTACTTTACCATGTCTATTGCTTCACTTGCAAAGAATTCTCAATCCGTTGAACGAGTTGGTTCGCTGGCAACGCACCCTCCTGCCATAACCCAAAATGCAAACTTGTCATAGAGAGTCAAGAACTTCTTGCTATAAAGAAAATCAGCTTTATCTAACTCTGGTTGATGCTATTAGATGAGCAAACTTACGAAACGGTCCCAGAGTTTTCCGTCTTTGAACAAGATGAATGTAGGTAATGCTTCAATCTGGTATTTGTTAGCAAGACTTGGGTACTTCTCAGTATCGATTTTCACAACTGCAATCTTATCTTTCAGAGTTTCACTCACTTCATTGAGTATAGGTACCATAAGCTGGCATGGACCACACCTGATGAAACAGAACTCTGTAAGTCTGTAACCATATCGGTGATGGCTTCATCAGAAATAAAATATAATGACCTGAACATAACTCACCATGTTGCATAGAAGTCTACTAGTAAAGGCTTGTCAGAGTTCTGCAGCAAATCATCAAAAGAGTTGAAAGTTTGCTTCTTTGCTCTAACCTGCATCCAAATAATTCATCCACGATTAAGAAAAGCTCAGTAAAAAATGGGCCACAAAGTTTAGCTCTAATATGAAACAAAGGGAGCGAATATGAAACTGCTCCAAACAATCAAATGAGCGAGTTTGCCTCCAAAACCATTACATCAGAATAATCTACTAACAGATATGTCAAAATTCCATCACTAGATCAGAGGTTTTCATTCGCATAAAGTTACCAAAACTCTGTAAAGTTTAATGTTAGTATCAGGTTTTTCCTCAGCTGAAAAGATGTGTTTATAGGCTAAAGTATAGAACCATCTACAACAAATACTGATTCTTCACTAGATATAATCACAGAATATCTAACACCATGTAGCTATTCAAAATGTTTTAGGAATCCTTCAAACATAAAGTTAGAATAATCTAAGAAACTGAACATGAAGAAAATAGAATTTGGTCGTCTCCAAATCACAGGACTGTTCTAGCTTTTAAGAACAATGACAGAGATATTGGAAACAGAGAGATACTCATCATCTCGAAACATGTAGCTTTTGAAGTGTGACGGAGAACTCACAGTGAGGGACGCGTAGCGAGGCGACGACGTCGAGTTACGCCTCTCGTGGCGGATTCCGAAGCGGCGAATCTGAGAGGGTAAGCGCAGGGATGAACGAAAAGATAGCATCGACCAGGATGAAACGGAATTAGACGATTCGGGGGCAAAATGTGGAGAGAGATAGTTTGTGGGGAGAGAGATCGCCATTGCAAAAGCCTAGATACGGTGGAGTTAACTGAAAATTGGACATTTCGTTTTGGATAACAATCCACTTTGTAAGGAAGGGAAGGTGAAGAGAGTAACAGACTAGACAAAAATATAAAATATCCTTATGTGTGTATATATATATACTATTATTTATGACGTTATTTTAAGAAATATAGATTTGTTGTTCAATCTCACTAAATATTACATAAGTATTTTTAATAAAAAATAGCTAATCAATTATAATAGATTTTTATATTTATTTTTTATATTTAAATATATATATTTTGATATATTCTAAATTTAATATCAAATATATTTTTAATTATTAAATAAATTAAATAATTAAAAATAAATATTCGTTTGTTCGTTAATCTTAAATATTATCAAAATTGAAATAATTTTAATATATTTGTCAAAATCTTATGCAAATCTAGATAAAATCTAAATAATTTTAACGTATTTATCAAAATTTTAATATTTTTGTTTCGATTCAGCTATGACCCGTAAGGTATCATCAGTTTTTATGTAACTATTATCGTCTCTATATATATGATTCATTTTTTAGCTTCGGCAAATATTATCGATTCGTTCTTCGTTTTTGTTAGTTTGATTGTGTGTTTTAATTTTTGTATTTAATAAATTTCTTCATACGCATATCTAATAAATTTTGTCATATGCATGCAGGTGATATAACTTCGTTGATCTTATCGATGTATCGATCTAATTTAGACGGTATGCTGTGTAGATCTATCCTTTTTAATGAACACATATATGTATTGTGTTCTTTTGTTGTTTTTGTATTTTCATGTAACCTTCTTGCCTTTATGTTTCTTTTAACAATTTTAACAACTAGGGATTCGATGATGGCCGCGAGCTTCAGTATTTTTTTGTTGGTAAATTTTATTCCACTTTGATTTTTGTATTAGATGAATTTCTTCATACCCATATCCAGTGAATTTCTTTATATGCATTGATGTAAAATTTTAATCTACTTTAAATCCTACATATATTCATATCATTGTAGTATGTAGGTGTCAATCCAAATGGGCAAAGTAAGCAATCAGGAATGCAATAGACTATTTAATTCAAGCAAGCAATGATTAGATAAAGTGAACTATGATTCTAATAGCTAGAGAGACTTCGGATGAACTAAAGCAAGCAAAATAAGACCAAGAAATTAAAGAAAGTTCGAATTCAAACAATCAAAGACTAGTAGGCTTGAGATAGGGTAACTGACCTAAGGAGACTTTCAGCTTAACTAATGATGCTTACAAACCCACAATAAGCTATTCCTAGGCATAAAATTAATAGCTATAACTAGCTCAACTTCTTGATACTAATCACTTTGCTAAGCACATAATCAGATAATTTTCATTACTGAAATAGATGATCAACAAGCATTAAGAGCAACCAATCCAACTCTATATTGCCAATCTACTTCTTAGACATATAATTCCTTAAGTAAGATAAGCAAATCTCTTACTTGACTCATTTAGGCATTTCATCAAACACTTATCAGGCATAAGAGAACCCTAGGATCTAGATCAACTTAGCAAGGGCTAATCTAGCATTCAATCAATAAGAAGGAACAATAAGATTAAAAACTAATCAATTACTAATCAAGCTTCAAATCTTCATATCTCTATCCCATCTCAAACCTTAAGAAACTACTCACTAATCATGAGTTTAGCCATAACCCCTAGCAAAGGAAAAACACTAATCATGGTCAGAATGAAGATAAACACCGGATTTGATTGAAAGAACAAGAATCAAAGCAGGAATTATGAGGGATTAAAGGGAGAATACAAAGGATAAAGCTAATATATAAGGGATAAAGATGAAAAGAAGATCCCCCAAATGTTTTTGGGTCACAACATAAATATAGTTTTCAGAAAAACCCCTTAGTAAACCGGAAATAAACCAGAAAACAGCTGGTTCAGATGCCTTGTATCGGCTTGTTACATCGATACGCTGGTCGATATTGGTCGGTTGAAGGTTGTATCGACCAAGTCTGGTCGATACACTGATCGATACAGTCGCCTCTGGCTAAGGCTTATCGGCTGGTCTCCTCGGTATACTGGTCGATACAATCGCCCTTTTATTAAGGCATATGGAGCAGAACCATCGATACTCTGCTCGATACATGTCCTGGCTTGTGTATCGACTTGCTCCACATCGATATGTCGACCGGTACAGATGTCCTGAAGATGGTGTCTGTTATAGTAGCTCGATACCCTTTGAATTGTCCTGTCTCGTTGTATCGACATGGGACCTCGATATGCTCCTCGGTATGACTCCTTAGCTTGTATCGACGTATGCATGTCGATGTGTTGCTCTGTATGCTCCGTATCAACTTGGTGAGTCGATATCCTGCTCGATATGGGGCCTTCTCTCCTTGGTCTCTCCACCAGACTTCTCTCAATCCTTAAACTCCTTTATTGCACCTGCGAAGTGCTCAAAATGCACCAAATATGCAATGCAACTCCTAACTACACTCTAAGTGCTAAATGGATGCAATTGAGAGATGATTATGCAAGAAAGGGTGTTTAAATGCTGAAGTTAATGCTAATTGTATGCATATGATGGAGTTATTATGGTGTATATCAACTCCCTCACACTTGCCTTTTGCTTGTCCTCAAGCAATCAAAGACAAATAAGAGAGAGAGGTTTGGAGGTGGGAGCTCAAAACTAAAGATGCCAATGGAAAGATTGATTCAATGCCCAAGTTATATGTTCTAAGATGCATAGAGATTGTTCTACTTTAAAAATTTTAGCCATACTCATCTTAATAAACACTGAACTCAAGGCTCAGCCTACACAAGCATGTAAATCAACCAACTCTTTAACATTCATTAATTGTATCCAATGGATCAAGTTTGTGCATATCAAATGAAAACATTTTGTCTAAGGGATACGGTTATGAGATGAAAATGATCTCATTCAGCACAGGTTCAAACAACCAAGGGATCACTCAATGAAATGATTTTATCTTAGGTAAAATGCTAAAGGTAAAAGCACACTTATGCATGCAAGTAAAAGCTCTCTTCTACCTTTTTTTACCCAAATATGAACCTAATAACTTCTAAACCCCAAGTGAAACCCCTAGATCTACCCTTTTCCAATGCACTTGCCATCTTCTTCTTCTTGATGTGGGGAGGAAACTTCTTCTTTGCTTGTGTGGTTGACTTCTTTTTGGAACTTGCTCTTCCCTGTTGTTTTTAGCGCCATTTTCATCACCTTTGGTTGATTGCTTGGTCTGAATTCTCCTTTTGGATGACCTTGTAAGCTTTGTTGTTGTTTGCCCCTTCTCTTCTTTAACACTTCGAGCTTTCTTCCTTTATACTTAACCACAAAGACTGATTATCTTCCCCACACTTCTTCTTTCAAAAGATGCAAACAATTAAAGATGAAACAACTTAACACTACCCTTTCCTAATCTCCTATCTCAGTACCAAGCTCAAAATGTAAGCTGGTATCTACAAGAGAGCTTCTCCTTGCCAGCCTTATTCCTAACACTTTTTGTCAAGATAAAATCGAGAATGATGCAATGCAAGGCCTCACAACTCTCACAATAGTGTTTAGGTTGAGAAAGAAGGGTTGATTTAAGGTGTGGATAACTGTCCCATAATGATGAGGATCAGCTACTTGGATCAACAAGAGTGGTAAGAAGGGAAGAAGATGATCTAAGTATGTATAAGGGTAGCCATGTAAACACTATCAATGCACAAACAGGATAATTCAAATTCAGGTTAAAGTTCTAATAAGATAGAGTTGGAATCAAATCAAAGCAAGCTTCAGCATATGTCAAGAGTAACAATGCAAGAATTCAAAGCAAGGTGCAGCCTTAACTTCAAACTCACTACTATGCATTCAAACAACAAGTAACCAAGGCATTGAAAACAATCCAAACATGAGCATCTTAACAAGTGCTTATAATCTACTCCCTATGCAAATGTGTACAAAGATACATGAAATGCATCTAGACCCCAATCTTAGATATATAAATGCACCTAAATGGATCTTTTTGGTTCCAAAAATATGAAAATTTTATGGACTTTCAATGCACATAGACGAATGGATGAATGCATGAGACTCAAGTATGCAAAAAGGGAAAATAAGAAAATAAAACACAAAGTCAAATGCATTACCCTCCCCCACACTTGAACTACACAGTCCTCTGTGTAATAAGAGTCATAGAGGAGGTTCAAACCATTATAAATGATGAAGGGAGAAAAGTCAGTGCAAAAGAAGTGAAGGATGAAGAGTTAGAGAGACTTACAGCTGTTTTTGTGGCCGATATCGAGGTGCAAGGTCGAACGGGTCATCGATATGCTTCCAAGGCAGTGGGTATCGGGTGGTATATTTATGGTGATCGATACTTGCCCGGGTGACTCGTATCAAGCTGACAAACCGATATGGATGTTGATGCTCTCGGAAATCGCCATCGCCCTTTTTGTTAAGGCATATGGAGCTGTGTGCTCGATACGTAGGTCGATACGTCCTTGGTGCTTAGCGTACCGTGCAGCTGAGGTCGATGCGCATGTCGATATGCATTGCCTCTGCTTTGTATCGGGATGTATGCTGTCTGGTACATGGACAGTGAAGGTGTATCGATGTGGGTATGACCAATACATTGGTCTATACGTGTGCCAGCGGGTTGTATCGGGCAGCTGTTCGTCGGTACGCAGGTCGATATGGACTCCTCTCTTATGTATCGACCTGCATCTTGTTCGATACTTAGGTCGATATAAGTGTAGAGACATGCTATATCGAGCAAGTGAGCTCGATATGTACATTGGTATCACTCGTATTGACTTGATATCATCGATATGCTGCCCGATATGACCTCCCTTCGAGTTTATCCTCCTTTGTAACTCAGTTGTTCTTTCCTGACCTCATCCCAGGTTCCTAATGATACTCGTGGATACTAAAACAAACAAGAAAAACATGAAAAAGCAAATAATATAGACAGGATTAACATGGGAATACCGCCCAAGAGTGCTTGTTTAGAGTCACTAAGCTTGGCTTTTCTTGCTCCTTAGGCAAGCTGGAGGTTCTTGGAGGTGAATGTATGTATCATCTCCAAGTGTGTTACTGGCCATGTAAGGCTTCAGTCTATGCTCATTCACTGTGA